TGAATTTCGACGACGAAAAGCTAATGGGGATTGCATTGGGGCTTGAAGCTTCTCGGAAGCAATTCATTTGGGTTGTGAGAAAGGATAGTAGGAAGGTAGTGCTCTAAAAGAAGAGTGGTTACTTGAAGGATTTGAGAAGAGAGTGGAAGGAAGAGGACTTATAATAAGAAATTGGGCACCCCAAGCGCTGATTTTGGAACATGAACAATATTCTATCTTGGATTTCCGTTTAATTTTTGTTGAGCAAATAATGTAAAAAGTTTTTGTAGGAATTAAATGATGTATTTTTATAGTGACTCACTTTTAATGTAAAAGTAACGCTACTTACTTAGAATGTTGTTACGAAATAAAAGTACAATCCAATCAAAATCACTCAATCTCTTAATTTTTTTTTCTACTGAAAATGACTCCTCTGAAGGTCCCTTGTATTCCACGAGATTATAGGACAAATCAATACACATGTAAAAAATGTTAGCTCCACATCGACCTGATCATGAAGGTCCATTCATATGTTAACTCTGTGTCGGAGTGGTAACTAAGCTCCAAATCATCATTTTAGCTTGAACTCGGTAAATAATTGCATTTGAAAGGTCGTTTAAACGAGGGAAAGAAGACAACGTATAATTAATAGCAACTTAAAAATGATAATAGCTTTTTTAGCTAAGACGAACTTCATAGAAACCAAAGAGAACCGGAAAACAATGAAGACCAACAAACAGAGAAGGCAAAAAGCTTCAGACAAGCCCAAAAGAAAAACAAGGAAAGCTATGGAACCTGCCAAGCAGCGCAGTTCTTGAAAACAGACCAAAAATGATAATAGTTTAGGGAAAAGGGTAACAGCTTTGCGAATTCGGCAAGATATATTAAATAACAACGTCAATCGTAAGGAAGTCGCACGAAGAGTACTAACAATGCAGACTATGTCCCCAGTCTGACTCGAACTTATGTGGTGTTTCTAATCTATAGATCTTCTCCTCACTGGAACTGATATGGTGTTTGCTTTGATAGAATTCTTACTTGAACTATTTTGTCTGATTAAAAAGTGTAGCTATCCGATAAGGGAAATTAAGAAGGTTTATTCTTAAATTTTAGATTTTATTGGCATCCATACCAATAAATAGAGTTCCAGTTAAATTAGGTGTTTTGAATTTGTTTTAGTACAGTGCAGTATATACAAAATTGAAAGCATTAACAACAAAATGTTCATTTAAGAGAACAATACATGATCGTGAATAAGCTCTATTGGTGAAGTATTTTCCCCTTTTATGGCTGTTGTCAAGTGATGGCACTGGCAAGCCCAATACGATTTCTTTTCTACTTTGATTGAATCTTGTTAAGCAAACTAGGAAAACGCATATTTGATTGATACCTAACTTTGTTTTAGTGTATTTTGTATTTACAGTTCTCTGTTGAGCCCTTTGTAAATTGATCAAACATTTATAAAGATGAAATTCTAGTCAAGGCCCTGTTTGTTTCTGTTTTCATTTCCATTTTCATGTTTTTCGAGACTAAAAAATGAAAACGCAAATGTAAAATGCATTTGGTGTAAAAGTCTTCAAAAAATAAAAACAAAAACGTTTGTCTTTTCTAAAAAACTGAAAACGGATGAAATCCATTTTCATTTTCTCCCTCGTTCTTCACTCTCTTCTCCGATGCCCTCTTCTCTCTCTATCTCATTCTCTCTCCCCCTCTCTCTCCTCAACCTTGTTTCTCTCTCTATCTGTCGCCTCTTCCTCTTCTCTCTCCTCTCTCTCCACGCCATCGCGATGAATCTCCAAAGCTTTTTTTTTTCCTTTTCTTGAGCAATTTTCTGGTTTTAGATGGGGAAAAAAATGACCGAGTCCCAGCCCTGACGAGCCCCACCCCCGCGCGACTCATCTCCGGCGAGCCCAGATCTGCAGCCACCGATCCCACCCGCGCGACGCACCTCCTGAACTCAAAATTTGATTTTGAGATATTAATCTGTTTGGTTTCATTGAATAACTAGAAATGTTTGGTTTTGATATGTGATTTTAATTTTAACTTTGGTAGATCTTGGTTTTTGATGAAGGGGAAGAGCTGTTTAATTTTGGTAGTCTTCTCCGAAACTTGTTTGAATGGAGTTTTTGAGTCCGACCCGATTGGAAGAGCTTGGATTGGAGTGAGGATGTTCCTCGACTTCCATGGCCGTGGCTTCTTCTTCCATGTCGCTCTCGCTCTGTGTTTCTTGCCAAAGTGGAGCTGTGAGGTATGGAAAGGGAAGGGAAGGAAAGGCAAAACTCGGAAGCAGAGAAGAAAAACTTGCGATTTGTGTTTAGTTATTGGTTTTAAGTTTTTTTTTTTCAATTTTTAAAAGTTTTAAATATTTTTATTATCATTTTTAAACTTTTAATTAAATAAATAGAAGTATATAAATGACATTTCACATTTAAAAAAAATATACATGTTTTTAAAAATTAAACTACTAAACGCAGTTTCAGTTTTTTTTAAAACTGAAATCAATCTTTGAATAAAACTACCAAACGCATTTTCAGAAATAATTTTAAAATGAAAATGAAGACGTTTTTATTTTCATTTTTATACAGAAAATAAAATCATTTTGGAACTAATTCCAAACGCATAAGTTTCCTTAAGAAAAAGGCTTAATTTGACATAAGAGATTAACTTGATGAACGCACAACTGCATAAGTTACTGCTTTCCAAAGCTTAGAACAAATGTAAATGTAATCATTGAAGGATAGAGTGTTGGCTACTTATATTTTTCATGGTACGAATCAGACAACTACATTTGTTGGACTATATAATAAACCTTTCCCCCTACATAGCAAGTACCTTCTTATTTCTCTATTTTCTAACTTTGATATCTTAAATTAGAGAGTTTTTTGGGTAAGTTTTTCTACCGATAGGATTTAATTTCTGATTATTAAATCTAGTTAAAATTACATCATATTAAAAAAAATGTAGAATATATAATTTTTAATACAGATTTAACGGTTGCGGGTAAAAAATTATTAATAGTTTATTTTTTTCTAAAATTCCCCGTGAATGAAACCTCAAAAGTCAACTCTGTTTTATATTCCTCATTCACTCGTTGAAACCATACTCCATCATGGAACACTTCAATCTTTCAGCCATGTCCACAGTCCATTGAAAACTTGAATTTGATGTGGTGCTTTTACAAAACTATCAAACTTGGCATAGACAATTTATTTCATAAACAGCAAACAATATGCCATTAACAAGAGGGAACAAGAAGCAGCTCTGAATGGCCTATATAGAACTTAAGAAAACCTTACTTTGTTAAGAAAATTCTCCTAAGAGGTATCACGGGCGACGCATTGCAACCTCAAATCTTCAAGCAAAGCATCCAAGTCCAACACAGAAGACCCTCCTTCCTCAATAGCTCTTCTCGCCATTTCAGCAAATCCCCTCACTCTCCTCCTCATTTCCTCTGCTTCTTCTCCTTCCATAACCTTCCTCACCGCCTTCTCCACGGCGTCCCTCTTCACAAAATCCCCCAACAATCTCCTCCATTTCTTAGCACCAACTTCAACCCCAATTCTAAGTAATTTAGTCACCAACTTCTCATTGAAAAACTGCTCCGCCGACACCGGCCAAGTGACCATTGGTACCCCCGCACAAACGCTTTCCAACGTCGAATTCCAACCACAATGCGTCACAAATCCTCCGATCGCGTCGTGTTCGAGGATCGTCACTTGTGGCGCCCAACCTCTTATAATAAGTCCCTTCCCTTGAATTCTCTCCTCAAATCCTTGCGGCAACCAATCTTCTCTCACTCCTTCTCGCTTCTCCTTCTTCACAACCCAAATGAATTCCCGCCCGGACGCCTCAAGCCCCGCAGCGAGCTCCATCAACTGATTGTCATCAAAATTCGCCACGCTTCCGAAACTGACGTAAATTACCGAATCGGGTTTCTTCGAATCGAGCCACTTCAGGCACTCGTGCTCGTCAATGGAGGCTTCCATTCCTCTTTTAGCCCTCTGTTCGGTCCTTTTCTCGTACATGAAAAGCGGGCCAATGTTCCAAGCCTTTCTCCCGAGGAAATTACTGTAATGATCCGCATAACCCGGTTCCAGCTCGTAAAAACTGTTCATCAAAACCCCATAACTCCTCTCCTCCATCGCTTTGCTCTCTTTGTACCACGTCGAAAGAACGCCTCCGTCGTTGTTCTTCACGAAATCTGCCACTCTGCTTCTGGTGAACTCGATCTCGTCCGGTAAATCCGGAATAACGAACGGCTCCAAATCATCGGACACCGTCTTGTAAGGCTGGTGAAGGAAAACGCTCAGACCGGCGCACAAGGAGAAATAAGAAGTCCCGTGGAAGACGAGGCAGGGAATTCCAAACTCCTTGGCGACGTCCGGGGCCCACGTGAAGAACATGTCGGCGACGAGGAAGTCTGGACGGTATCGTTCGAGGATGTCGGCGATCCGCGGGCCGAGAAGGCCGCAGGACTTGAAGAAGCGGTTTTGCATGTCGGGAGTTTTGGCCATGTGGACGGCCTCGACGTCTTCGGGCAATCCGACGTCGGCGGAAGGGATCTTGAAGGTGACGACGACGGAATCGGTGTCGTTTTGGAGGGATTTGGAGAGGAAGGGAGCAAAGTGAGAGGTGGTGGCGACGGTGGATTTGAGGCCTCGGGAAGAGAAGAGCTTGGCCATGTCGATGACGGGAATAAGGTGGCCTTGAGCCATGAGGGGCAAGAAGAAGACGTGAAGGCGGTGATCGATTTTGGTCCCCATGTTGGGGCGGCCTTGTAAGAGATGACGAGAGAAAATTTGCTAAAGGTGTTTATGTTCGGATGGTATAGGGAAAATGATATACCTATACATACTTTTCCCAAACTTAGCTTCCTAAGAGGTCCAAGTGTTGATTTTTATGGAGGCTTGGCCTCCTCTTTTTTTTTTTTCAACTTTTTTTCACTTTTTTTTGTTGCCATTTTTGACTTTTTTTTTTTTAATTTTTCTTCTCTCTTTTTTTTTTCCTTTGCCTATTGTTTTTTTTTTTTTTAATTCTCTCTAAATCTAATCTAACAATATATAAGAGTCAAAACTCTTTTTTATAAGACTGTCACTCTACTTATTTCTTTTTTTTTTTTTGTTTTGTGAATTTTTTTTTACATTTTAATTTTTTGTGTATTTCTTAAAAATATATTGTTCCTTTCTTTATTTGTATGAGAGTAATTTTTTCATGTGTTTTTATTTATTTTTAACTGGTTAAAATAATTTTTTAAAATGTGTTTCTATTTTTTTTTTATCAATTATTATCTTTACACATATTCTTTTATAAAATAAATATAAAAAACTTTAAATGGTTATATAAATAAATTTCTCACTATTTAATAAATAATAAACTCTTAAATGTTCCTAACACAGTGCAGAACAAGTACACAATTAGTGCATTAAAAAATAGTAATTATACCTCTTAAGTTTTGTTTTTTTCCTTCTAAATTTAACGCTCTTTTTATGGAAACATATAACAATTTCAGGATGAAAAAAGTCTCAAAAGATTCTTTGTTGAATTAATCGTTTTTTGTCTTGTTTTGCTCCGGGTATTTATTTGTTGAATTAATCGTGGTCCTATTTATGCGTTGCTGATAATAAATTAAGTACGAAATTTTCGTGCTGATATTATGAGTATATATTCTAATGGGGCGTACTATTCTTGTCAAATTTTTTTCCCAGTCCATCAATCACTTTTTCTTTCGTTATATTTTTAAAATTTTCTTGTTGTCCCATTGGTGGCAGATGAATTATAGGGGTGTTTAGTATAAGATAATCTCAAGAATGAAAATAGAAAATTTTCAAATTCTCATATTTAGTACATATTGAAACATTCAATATTTAGACTGTATGGAGAAATAACTTGGCTAGGGAAATGTTTGACCAATGGCGGAGAAATCGCCATTGATATGGTTTTTGATATGATTTATGTATGACATTGTTGTTGTCATTCATAATAAATATGTATGACATTGTTGTTGTCATTCATAATAAATATGTATGACATTGTTGTTGTAAGTGTTAATAAATATGTATGACATTGTTGTTGTGTACACATAATGAATGCTAATGTAAGGAAGCATCAATGGACTGCATTGGAAGATTCAAAGCTAGTAAAGTGCTTATTGGATATGGTGAATAGTGGAAAATGGAAAGTAAATAATGGTACGTTCAAGCTTGGTTACTTACAACAATTGGAAAAAATGATGAATGAAAAGATTCCACAATGTGGGCTTAAAGCACAACCACACATTGATTCTCGTGTAAAGATATTGAAGAAACAATGGGTGCGTTTGGAATTGGTTTCAAAACGTTTTTATTTTTTGTATGAAAATGAAAACGAAAACGTTTTTATTTTCATTTTAGAATCATTTCTGAAAATGTGTTTGATAGTTTTATTTTGAGATTGTTTTCAGTTTAAAAAAAAACTGAAATTGTGTTTGGTAGTTTAATTTTTAAGAACATGTAATAGTATTTAATAATTTATTTGTGTTTAGTGTTGACAGTTTTTTAATCTAAAAACGATGGTTAAGCACGTGTGCTGCTCTACTTCTAAGTAAGAACCTAGAGAGAGGAAAGGAATTTTTTTTTGCTGGAAAGAGGAAAGGAATACTTAAGAGAGCTTCTAGAGAGACAGAGAGAGAGAGCGCGCTTCTAGAGAGAGTGAGAGGGAGAGAGAGTTCTATCTGTTTGATCCATGGTTGTTGATTTCTGGTTTATATAAACGTTGTTTGTTTGTTATATGGGCTCATGGCTATGATGTTATTGTAAGTTCTAATAGAATAAAATCTTTCATTTTGTTGCTATTTCTTTGCATTACAGAGTTCTATAGATAGATCAAGGAATATCTGAGCCTAATTTGAAGACTTTCCTTTCACTCTGTCCCCAAACATTGCATTGCAGAGTTCTATCTGTTTGATCTATAAACGTTGTTTGTTTTTTTCTCTCGTACTCGTGAAAATGGAATTTTAACTTTTATTATAATCAGAGTATGAGAGAGAGAGAGGCGCGCAGGGTATGAGAGAGAGAGAGAGAGAGCGGCTTTTGAGTAGGGGATAGAGTGAATCGGAGCAGGTGAGAGAGAGCGGCGAAGAGAGAAGGAGGCGCAGAGAGGGGAGAGAGAGACGTGAGATGAGAAGAGCATATAGAAGAGAGAAAAATCTGGGAAGAAAATATGCTCCGGCGAGATTCGGCTATGGCCGCCAGTCGCGAACGCAGAGAGAAGAGAGAGAAGAGGAAGAGGCGACAGATAGAGAGAGAAGAGAGCAGTCAGATAAGAGAGAGAAGAACGGAGGAAGGAGAAAATGAAATGGGGAAAATGAAAACGGATCAGATTTTCAATAAAAGACAAAAACATTTTTATTTTTAATTTTTAGAAAATTTTGCACCAAACATGTTTTGTTTAAGCGTTTTCATTTTTTATCCTCAAAAAACGTGAAAAACAGAAATAAAAACGGAAACAAACAGGCCCAATATCATACTATTTCTGAAATGTTGGGCCCTGCCGGTAGTAGCTTTGGTTGGAATGATAAGGATAAATGCGTTGTGGTTGAGAAATATGTGTTTGATGAGTGGGTTAAGGTTAGTATTTTTTTAACCGGTTATAAATTTCAAGTTTCAGTATATTAGGCTCTTTTAATGTTTAATTTACATTCCATATCTATTACAGAGTCACCCAACTGCGAAAGGCTTAAAAAACAAGCCGTTTCCTTATTATGATTAGTTATGACTTGTGTTTGGAAAGGATCGTGCTAATGGACAAGGTGCAATGGGATTGACCAATATGGTTGATGACATTGATAAAGAAACAGAAAATGATATTGATTATGATCCATTGCTTATGTGAACATGGATATGTATGCAAGTATTGGTGGTCCTAGCATACAAACAACTTCAACACCATTAGCATCAGGAAGGAAAAAGAGAAAGAGATCTCAATGTGGAGATGTATTGGTTGATACTTTAACTGAGACAGTACATAAGTTTTCTTATATGTATGCTATGGCTTGTGAGAATATTGGTAGGCTTGCTAATTGTTTTCAATATGATACTGATAGTGCTGCAAGGAGGATGTAGGTGTTTGATGAAGTGAAGAAGATAGAAGGACTAACAAATGCACAAGGGGTACGAGTCAGAAAACTTCTTGTCCAAAATCATGACTACACCAACTATTTCTTCACGTTAGATGATGAATTTAAATTAGATTTTCTTCTATCACTTTTGGAATGAGTTAGGTTGAAGCTTTTGATGCTATATTTACAAACTTGAGTATATGGTCCAATATTTAGATCTTTTGATGGTATCTTTGGAATTTTTATACGTGGTCCTAGATTTACACTTTTAATTTCAAGTTTGGAACCATGTTCGAGTATATGCTCTCATATTTAGAGCTTTTGTAAGAACTTTTGAGTATAGAGGATTTTAGTTAACATTTTGAGACCCATATTATTTAATAATTTTATGGACTACTTGTTGTATTGTATTTTATACTTTTTAAAATATTAGTGATAATGTTATAGGCTAAATATTTAAAAAAAAATTTTATACTTTCTAAAATATTAGTGCTAATTGTAATTCATTTAAAAAAATATGTTTTTTAATTCACAACATTCTCATGCACAACCAAAAACCGTAATATAATATTTCTAAGAATTTGAGAAAGATTCTTGTATGGAATCAAACACAATAATGTATTATTCCTAAGAATCATATTATCCATCACTTTCTCAGGAATATGATTTTTACTGATTACTGCGTATTAAATGCCATCACATTGATATGAGTTAGTGCAGGTACATTCATGAATGAACGTGACACAATTGTCCATTTCTGGAGGCAAAGAAGCATCTTTACTCTTCAAACCTTAAAGCTAAACGCGCCATTTATGTTTCCTGATAAAGTAATCTCCTACATCACATGCTTGACCAAAGTTTTCACTTTGTCACTCGTCAGCCGCCAAATTATTATTACAAAAATTTTTAGGACCGGCCGGTCGATGATATCTATTTGCAGTTTTGCACCGCAGCTATTATGAGTAAAAACAAAAACAAAACAACAAATCATAAACATGATCACTTGGCTTTGATTATAAATGTACCTTACAAAGTCCGGCACACGCATGGATCTTGCAATTATCGAGCTTGTTTATCGTTGTTGTTGATGAATTCGACTCCCTAATTGCCTTTGTTTTTATTTCTTTGTATGTTTCTTTAATAATATCATAAGTGCGTGCTTATTAAAATATCTTGCTATCTCAATTAAAATGTTTTATGTTAATTAAAATATTTAGTTGAAATGACATGTTATTTAAAACATCTGAAAACATTTATATATATAAAGAGAAAATGTGAACCAAATCCATTACTGACGGTATTGGTTTTCATCTTCCTGAACTTGTTGAAGCTAATGTTGCTATCTCGTCGCAGCCGAATAGAGCTCTCATTATACGGTGGCAGTTTAGGTTACCTTGTTATTCGTTTAAATATAAAAAAATGTATACGTTTTCCTTTATAAAAACGCGTGGATTTTGGTGCACAACAGTCATAGTATTTTCATTTTTCAATCTTTTAAATTAATTTATTTTTTTAAGCTGTCCTCTTGTCATTTTACTAATTATTATATGGCGTCTTTATGTTATTAAAGGGTGTAAATATAATCACCCAGGAGCAAATTGAACGGAGAATGAGAAAAAGGCCCAACTTGCTGAAAAACAGTAGGGTAGAGGACTTAAGTGTGTCCCAAAAAAGTATAAACAACCCGTTAGGAACTAAAGTACAAATAATAAGCCGAAAAACATTAAGAAAAAAAAAAACAGAAGAACAAAGAACAAAGCT